GACTGATGAGGAAAGGGTAAAAAACTGACCATGTTAATTCTTCAGAAAAAGAAGACTAAGGGGGTGGGGAGGTAACAACCTGATAACAACCTTGCAATATATTAAGGGATGATGCAGAGAAGACAGAGGTCAATTGTTCCCAGGTCCACTGAAGGGAGTACAAGAAGTAATGGGCTTACTCTGCAGCAAAGGAGATTTAGGTTAGACATTAGGAAAAACTTCCTAACTATAAGGGCCGTTAGGTTCTGAAACAGGTTTCCAAGGGTGATTGTGGCCTTCCTAGTACTGGAAACTTTTAAAAACATGTTGGACAAACTCCTCTCAGAGCTGGTCTAAGGTTACTTGCTCCTGCCACAAAGCAAGAGACTCGACTTGATGACTTTGAGGTCCCCTTCCTGATTCACATTGCTATGATTCAGTTTGTTATGTGTGCAAGAGCCTCCATGATATATTTTAAAGCAATGAATCAATGAAAATATTTTTTCCAGTGACATCACAGCTTTAAACAATACAAAGTATAAGACTGTGATTCCCAGCATTTAATCAACTTAATATAGTAGGTAAAGGAGGCAATAAGTTTTAATGGCTTCTTTGTAATGTACTAATTAAAACCTCCCAGAACCAAATAGGTAAATCTCCCACTGAAGTTAATAGAACTTCTCACAGAAGAAAATGGGAATTTTGCCTTAGTAAGGACTGACGTCAGGGTTTTGACCCAAGATGGTTAATGTGTCAAGAAACTAAAACAAAGCGTGAAGATTAAATGAAGGTTAAAAGGTTGGGTTGCCAGGTATTGACCTGGACAGTCTGATATTTTTGCCTCCTGTCCGGTAAAAAAAATTCAGAACATACCAGACACCTGAAATGTCCAGTATTTTTGATTTTTTCCCGACCAGGAGGCGAAAATACCGGGTGCTTACCTGGTTCCGCAGGGGAGCTGTCTGGCCCAGAGCAGGAAGACAAGATAGCGGATGGCCGCTGGCAGCCTGTTAGGGCCAAAAAGCCTCAAAGGCATTTCTTAAAGAGGCCATATTTTTTTAAAAAAATTTTTTGCTTAATAATTCTTGGGAATCTTTTTTTTGCTCAACAACTTTGGTCTCCCCATTTTTTTTCTTCAACAGAATTTTTTTCACAGTGTTTTTTTTTTTGAGTGGGTGGGGGGGAGTTTGGGATTTTTAGTTAAACCATCTGGCAACCTTAGTAAAAGGACTGCCCCTTAATTTTTGTGAATAGGATCGTGTCTTTCTAACCAGTCACCAACCACTTACAAAAGAACCCATATCTTGTTTACAACAATTACACTTGAAAGAAATCCCTTTGAAGTCAATGGGAGTCTTGCCCCGACTTCAGTAAATGTGGGATCTTATTCCTTTCTGATATTAGCCTTTGTTTAATTTTTCTCCTTTCAAAATGCCAATTGATAACATTTGTTTTCATTATAATCCAGAGACAGCTATTAAACAGAGGGACTCCAGTCCAGATCAGCACTGATTTTGTTAAAACATAATTCCTCTTTGTGCTACTGTTCTCTGAATATAATTATGAGGTCTACAGTAACACCATATCAATTGACTCTGGGTTTTTAGGACCTAATGAATAACTTGTGAATCTCCAAACCTGACACGGTTTATTTTTAGTTAGGTCCAACAAAAGGTATCACCTACAGATTCGTGACATTTTTTTTGTGTGTAATAAAATTCTTTGTCTCAGAATAATTAAGCAATAAAATGTGAGAGCACGTGAATTAAAGTGTAATAATTCACAGCTACTGTAGTGCATTCTTAGGCAGGAATCCAGGGACTGACTGGCATTTCCAGTGGAACTAGCTGTGAATTATTGCCCCATAATTTAACAACTTGAGTGTCTTTTTGCAATTATAGGCTTTTTCTTTATATTTTAACACACAAATGAGCCACACACACCAGACCATAGAGCAGTAGAGAAAATGTTAAGATCCCATCCCTCAGACATAAGCCATGTTTTTCTACCTAGTTACTGTTCAATGATGCCAGCACAGGCTTCTGGCTGCTATGTTTTTGGAGCCCATAAAGCCAACAGGAACGATCATCTAACTTTTGAGGAAAACTGGCACAGCTGTTTCTCTGTTGGCAGCACCTTTGGAAACGTTGCTGCATGGGGGTGAGGGAAGTGGGTTTTCAAATGCTTCTGTGCACACCTCTCTTTCCGATGGGAGGCTGTGTCTTTAAAATCCATATCTGAGTAGGAAACAAAGGATGTGTAGAAAAATCAGCTGTACAGCACCACTGCTGAGTCCAGCCACTTGGAAGTAGCTAAGGGACATGGGTGTTCATTCCAGTCCACACTGAAAAAGTAGCCTTGAGCGCTTACCAGCTTTTGGCACCATTGGGGAATAGAGACCATGCTGCTATCAGATCGTTTCCACCAAATAAAGATCAGAAAAGAAACATTTAAAATCCAGCCCCTTTTAATAGGGTTACACAAGGGTGCTGCTGATCAGACTTTCCTCCTCAGTGTGTGTGGGGTGTAGTGGTGCTGTAGCCCCTTCCAGAAGCGAGAGGGTTACAGACAAACCAGAAGCAGCTTGTGCAACTTTGGCCAATGAGGGCAGGGAGCTGTCAGCCAATCAGGGCCAGGCTGGGCCCTATAAAAGGCTGCAAGGGCTGAAAGGAGCTCACTCTTGCTCCAGCTGTGGAACAGGAGGGACCTGGCTGCCTGGGAAGCTAGTGAGGGCACCTGAGACAAATGAGTGCTGGGGAAAGGCAGGTAGAGCTCGGAGCTCCGGCCTGACCCAACTCCCAGGCGGCAGGGCTTGAGACAGAGGCCTGAAGTGTCCTGATACAGAGGCCTGAGGGTTTCTAGGGCTGCAAGGAGGCAGCCACAGCAGCAGATCCACACCCCCTTGCCAATGATAAATGGCTAAGTCACACAAAAGTTTGCCCCTGAGGCAGGAGGTTAGATGATGTCTGGCAGTGGGTCACTGAGGAGAGGGGGGACTAGGAAATTGGGGATCCCTGGGAGGAAAGGATTCCAGAATGTGGGGGCACTGCTGTGGGGCAGTACTGTGAGGAAAGGGCACCATGAACTGGAAGGAATGCGGGGCCTGAAATAATGGAAAACAAAAAAGGGGTGCTCCTAGGATTGCCAGATGGTTTAACAAAAAATATCAACCCCGCAAAAATGGGAAAAAATTCTGGTGAGAAAAAAAAGGGGAGAGACCAAAGTTGAGCAAAAAAAAAAAGGGCGTGGTGCCTTTAAAAGGCCCCGCACACTCCTCACTCCCCCACCCCCGCAAGACGCAAAAGGGGAAAATTGTCCCCACCACAGGGGTGCTCCTAGGATTGCCAGATGGTTTAACAAAAAATATCAACCCCGCAAAAATGGGAAAAAATTCTGGTGAGAAAAAAAAGGGGAGAGACCAAAGTTGAGCAAAAAAAAAAAGGGCGTGGTGCCTTTAAAAGGCCCCGCACACTCCTCACTCCCCCACCCCCGCAAGACGCAAAAGGGGAAAATTGTCCCCACCACGCTTCCATCTGAGGGAAACAGGAAATGTCAGGCATTTCACATGTCCGGTATTTTCTGGGTTTTTTTACCAGATGGGGGACCCAAATAACGGACAGTCTGGGCAAAAACTTGACACCTGGCACTCCTAGGTGCTCCAGGGCTAGAAGAGCTAATTCCTGAAGAGACCATCAGGAGGTGCCGTGCCGGTGAGTCAACCCCACTATAGGGGGAAATGAAACCAAATATTAATCCCACTAAATCAATAGCTTCTTAAAACCATAATTCAAAGACATTCAATTTGGGTAACCATTTCCAAACAGCAGGGTATATTCTTTACTTGGTGCGCATTTGTGCACCTCACTAATGCTGATTAGGATTAAGTGAACCACAAATAGGCATCTCCAGTGAACATGTGTCTGTTAATTCCACCCCTGGAATAATAAAGCAGCCACAGAATCAGAACCCCAAAGTACCGACATTTAGATAAAAACAGGGTGCAAAAGTGAGTCACTCCACGTTTTAGTTTTGTATTGCAAAGAAAATGCCTAACAAGATTCTTCCCTGCAGCTTTTTAGAGACCTGAGCCAAAGCTGGAGCTATTCAACAATGGCAGAACCAAAAATCCACGTTGCTGCTTTTGTTCATCTTCATACAATGTTTACTATGAAATCGTATCATTGGATTTATTGCACTGACTTTTTAAAATTGCTAATCAAATCAGAACTTGTTATTGTCACCAGAAATACTTATGAGACAGAGCTATTGAGACATCAGAGGGTCCTAGTGGAGACACAAAGGATATCTGGGACCCATTGTTTACCAAGGACTTGCTCTTGCTAGTATGTTTGTTGTACATAAGAACGGTCATACTGGATCAGACCAAAGGTCCATCTAGCCCAATATCCTGTCTTCCAACATTGGCCAATATCAGATGCCACAAACAGAGTGAACAGCACAGGTAATCATCAAGTAATCCGTCTCCTATCATTTCCAGCCTCTGACAAACAGAGGCTAGGGACACCATTCTTACCTATCCTGGCTAATAAGTATTGATGGACCTAACCTGCATATATTTAGTTCTTTTTTGAACCCTGTTAAAGTCTTGGTCTTCACAACATCCTCTGGCAAGGAGTTCCACAGGCTGATTGTGCGCTGTGTGAAGAAACACTTCCTTTTGTGTGTTTTAAACTTGCTACCTATTCATTTCATTTAGTGACCGCTGGTTCTTAATTACTCATGTGAGTAGCCCCCCCAGACTGCAATGTGACTTTTATGGTGAGTAAATCCTTTTCAACATGGGTCAAGATTGCAGAACCAGGCTCTAAGGTGAGAGACAATGTATATCACCATGGTTAAAGGCCATCTCCTTGGTCAACCATTTATGCCAATAACTTCTCTTTTCCTAAAAAAATGAAACCAGAGAATACAACTCTGTTTGCATACATATCACAGCTAGCATTATATAAATACCAGATGTTATATATTCAGTTCACATATATACTGGATAAGCTACTTGCCGTCAACACAGGAAGGTCTGTTTCGTGTTGTTCCAGCCACTTTCCCAGGGAGGCAGGAGCATTTTACTGTTTGTGATCTTTCCTCAATTCGATTCTTATTACAGCATCTGTGTGCTGCTATCACTTCACACGTTCCTCCTTCTGGCAATAGAGAGAGAATATTGACACTCTGATTAGGAAGAATAGCAATGACTAGTCAAAGCATCCAAGCATGCTACTTTCACCCTTTGCACTGAAAGTTTCTGTATACAGGGGATTAAGAAAGTGTTGTCTCCCACTATTGGTAATTTTGGCTAAGGCAGGTATTAGTCCACTTGAGAGCCAATAGGAAATGCAAAATAAATGCTTCTCAAGAGCAGATACAGCACCCAAACCCACTTGCCCTGCATTGTGAGTAGCTCCATTGACATGAATACAACTCCTGGGTATGAATTAGGGAATATATTGCAATATGAAATGAAAATGAACGAATGAAAATGTCAGAGAATCCACCTAGAAGTGAGCACAGATCCAAATCCTCAGATTCACCACTGACAGGGTAGTCATATTCTGCAAGGGGAGAATCAGTCCCCTAGGACTCACAGCATGGTCCAATTTTGCTTTCTTCTACTTCTAAAATATGGCCTGATGTGACAGTCCAGATGCAGGCAAAATTCTCAGTGAGTTAGAATAATAGAATCATAGAACACTAGAACTGGAAGGGACCTCGAAAAGTCATCAAGTCCAGTTCCCTGCCCTCATGGCAGGACCAAGAACTATCTATATCTTCCCTGATGTCTGTCTAACCTGTTCTAAACATCTCCAGTGATGGAGATTCCACAACCTCCCTAGGCAATTTGTTCCAGTGTTTAACCACCCTGACAGTTAGGAAGTTTTTCCTAATGTCCAACCTAAATCTTTAATGACATCAGGTCCAATTTTTCCTTGCCTTCCTTTTGCATTTTGGTCAGAGCATTTCCAAAAGCTTGGTTATACAGGTTGAACCTCTCCAGTCCAGCACTCTGTGGGTCTGGCAACATCCACGGTCTGGCATGATTGTAGTTAGCCAGATGTGCACTTATCATGGGTGTGGCCAAGTTTCCCGTGGTCCCATAAAGTTTGTTTACAGCCACCAGTCCTGGCTCTCAGTGTTCTGTGCTGTTGTTTAGCTCTAATTTACTCCTAGATATCTTCTAAGAACCGAGCAAGCAATGGCAGTGTTGGTGATGCTGCTAGATAATATTGACCTGTGATTCGGCAAATTCTTTGGTTTGGTACTAGTCAGATCCCACGGGTGCCAGACAAGAGAGGGTCAACCTGAGCCAAGAGATAGACAGATAAATGGAGAGGTAGGCTTCGTCTACACTTGGAGCTAGGGGTAAGATTCACACCTTGCACAGGCATTCTCCTGCTAACTCACAGCAAGCTACCATGGTAAACGTAGTAGTAGTGTAGTAGCTGTTAGCTTAGCTAGCTAGTACAACCCCTTCCTGACCTGCCTGTACCTAGGGCAGCTAGGCCATGCGGATACTCACTTAAGCCCTGGTGATCTTACTCTTATTAGCATGCTAGCTTAATAAGAGCGAGTGCCAGCAAAGCTATGTGAGCTGGGAGTCACACGCCTAACTCTAGCTGTAGACAGAGCCATAGATAGATACTGCCGGGCTTTGCTTGTGACATATGCTATGTACATAAATGACATGACAAAAGCATTATCCCCATTCATTTTTGCAATATAGCCTGGGAAGATCAGGCAGCAGAGTAGGTTACCATACTGCTCATTAATCTCTCCAGACTCTCTCAAAATGCATTTCACTCATAATTACTAAGTGTTTATAGTCCCTGTCTGTTCTTTAGCAGATATTTGTTCACATCCTGAACTTGCGGTATAATCTGACCGTGTCAGTGCAATCTGAACACACAAATATCCACACTGCATAGAAGAGCAGGACAGGTCAGAAGGCTCGCCGGGTGCCAAAGCAATATTATTTTAATCCCCTTCTGAGATGCCATGGCACATGACTTTAGCTACAGCGAACGGCCCAATGGAAAAGGTGTAGGAGCAAAACAGCCAAAGGCTAGATTGTAACCTTGCAATCAGCCCCAAGATCCAGCAAGGAGGACCTGCCCCACAACCACATACCAGATAACAATCTAGGATTCAGCATTTCCCCCCTGCATCCACGGGCGGTGGGTGAAAGCCCACTGGGGAAGGCAGGCCTCACCCTCACCACTTCCACCTGAGGCCTGCCCCTTCAGCTACCTTCCCACTCCAAAGAGCCAAGCCCCGCTCAATCCCAGCCCAATCCTTCTTGGCCACCTGGAGTGCTGGGGCTCCCACACCACAGCCTCAGTCCCAGCCTCCCCGGGCAGCCAGGGAGCCCAGCTTTCCCCTGCGGCCAGGAAGCTGGGCTGCCACGTTGTGACCCCATCCTTCCTGGGCAGCCAAGGAGCCAGGCTGCCTTCCTGCAGCCCCAGCCTTCCCTGGGTAGTGTAGACATGTTGGGGAAGGCAATGCCTTCCCTTCCCTACATTACCCATGTCTGCTTCCCCTTCTTCTGGGAGAGGAATAAGTTAGTGCATTCCTTTGCGGGGTGACTCCCGGCCTGTGCCTTCAGCCAGCTACCCTGAAGAGTGTGCAGGTCATACTGGGGTTGACGTAAGCCAGGGCTTCCCTCACTTCCCACCCCAGCCCTCACTAACTTGATTTCTGTGGGAAGTCGTTGGCACGTAGCTCCTGCTTTCCACCCTGTCACAATCTCAGCAGGGCCAAGCAGAGCAGGAAGGGGATGGGGAGAACTTGCTTCCCGCCTGCTCTCCTGCACAGCTGAATAGAGGCTGAGAAAATCTAGCTAAAATAAATGAGGTTCATTGCTGGAACGAATGTGCAGGACAGGAAGTACACTGCAAATGCAGGAATCCCACAGAGTGAG